TTGGAAATCAGTATGGCGACTCCTCAGGAAAATGGGAATGAGTCTACCACAAGATCCAGCAATTCCACTCTTAGGCATACACCCCAAAGAAGCACATTTATACAACAAGGACATCTGTTCAGCAATGTTCATAGCAGCACTACTTGTAATAGCCAGAAACTGGAAGCAGCCTGGATGCCCCTCAACCGAAGAATGCATAGAGAAAATGTGGTACATTTACACAATGGAGTACTACTCAGCAGAAAAAAAAAAACAATGGCATCTTGAAATTTGCAGGAAAATGGATGGAACTAGAAGAGACCATTCTGAGTGAGGTAACCCAATCACAAAAAGACAAACATGGTATATACTCACTCATATGTGGATTTTAGACATAGAGTAAAGGAATACTGGCCTACAATCCACACTGCCAGAGAAGCTAGGAAACAAGGATGAACCTAAGAGACATGCATGGTCCCCTGGAGAAGGGGAAAGGGTCAAGATCTCCTGAGCAAATTGGGAACATGGAAGGAGGGGGCAGGGAGCTAGGAGAATGAGAAGGGGAGAAGAGGAGGGGTGAAGAGGACATCAGGGAGCAGAAAGTTTGAATCGGGGGAAGAATAGAAAACAAGAATGGAGATACCATAGTAGAGTGAGACATTTTAGGTTTACAGAGAAATCAGGCACTAGGGAAATGTCTGCAGGTCTACAATGATGACAACAGCTAACAATCTAAGCAACAGAGGAGAGGCTACCTGATAATGAGATTGATGACTGACTTATATGCCATCCTATAGCCTTCATCCAGCAGCTGGTGGAAGTAGAAGCAGACACCCACAACTAATCACTGAACTGAACTGGAATCCATTTGCAGAAAAGGATGAGTGATGAGCAAATGGGTCCATACCAGGCTGGTGAAACCCACAGAAACAACTGACCTGAACAACGGGGAGCTCTTGCTCCCCAGACTGATAGCTGGGAAACCAGCAAGGGACTGATCCAGACCCCAGGAATATGGGTTTCAGTGAGGAGACCTTGGAAATCTATGGGACCTCCTGTAGTAGTTCAGTACTTATCCCTAGCATAGGTGTGGACTTTGGGAGCCCATTCCACATAGAGGGATATTCCCTGAACCAAGACACACGGGGGTGGGCCTAGGCCCTATCCCAAAGGATATGACAGACTCTGATGACACCCTATGGAAGGCCTCATACTCCCTGGGGAGCAGAAAGGATATGTGATTGATAGGGTTTTGGTTGGGGTTCTGGTGGGGGAGGGGAATAGGGAGAAGGAACTGGGATTGGCATGTAAAACAATATTATTTCTTATTCAAATGAAAAAAAAGTACCTAAGAAATAATGGAGAGGCTACCTTAAATTCCCTTCCCCTGTAATGAGATCAATGACTACCTTAAATATCACCATAGAGCATTCATCCAGTAGGTGAGGGAAGCAGAAGAGATCCATGGCTAAGCACTGAGTGGAACTCCTGGAGGCCAGTTCTGGAGCAGTAGGAGAGATGAGCAAAGGAGTCAAACCCATGTTGGGAAAAGCCACACACAACTGACCTGAGCAAGTGGGAGCTCACTGACTGCAGACTGGTAGCTGTGGAACCTGCATAAGACCGAACTAGGCCACCTGAATGTGGGTGTCAGATGGGGGCCTTGAGAAGTCTATGGGCCACTGGCAGTGTAATAAGTATTTATCCGTAGTGCATGAACTGGCTTTTTGAGCGCATCCCTATAGACGGATACTCTCTTAGCCTAGATACAGAGGGGAGGACCTAAGTTCTGCCCCAAATGATGTCAGAGATTTTGATGATTCCCCATGCAGGGCTCACCTTGTTTGAGGAGTGGATGGGGCTGTAATGGGGAGATGTGGAGGGAATAAGAATGAGGGAGAGAGAGAGAACTGAGATTGGAATGTAAAATAAAATTATTAATCTTAAAACATTTGATAATAAATATATAAAAGAGAAAGAAAATATGATGAAAAAAAGAAGATGG